GTATTTGCGAATTTCACCCTCATTGCACATATACAATCCTCTATCACTGCACTATTACAGATTTCAGTATGGTCCTTTTATAGGACACTCCTATGGAATAATTTGAAAATATCTGGATACAGTTGGAACTTAATATACTGTGCTAAATAACAGCTTCTATTTCTGTTCAAACTGTGGAAACTGACTTATAGTCATGATGATTCAAACTGGAACTCTCGGTGGGAACTCTCCAAACTTTGTGAAAGTTTAGATTTGATCCCAGATATGGAGCCAGTACTCTCTGTGGCCTCTCTCTGTAATAAGAAGCCTTGGAATAATTATTTCAAATATCCCTAGGAGTGTGGGAAAGGGCAGATTTGGATCTGATTCTAGATTCAAACTTTGCAAATAAGGCTTTCACTTTACAAGAGCCATTAAAGCCAGTGGAATGTACAGTTTCGGTATCATTGCTGATGTACAAAAACTGAATTCAGAATATCTTGCAAGTGTATCCCACTGTCTTCCCCCACCACAGTACCCCATGCATACACAAAAAGTGGTTCCATACTAAAAGAAGTGGGTTACCCATATTTTAGAAAATTATTATCCAGGCTATGAAGCCTTTTCAGACAGTTGTTCAAATCTGCGCTAAAACAGGCCGTCTTCCTTCCCTCACAAGTGTGGGGCAGACAACTGAAGGGTAAAGTAGTATATCTTACACTTCTTTTAGAGGAAAATATATCTACTTTAGCTACCAAGTCAGCACCGGAGAATAATTTAATCATACTTGTAAATGGCATTCCAACAAAAAAAAGTCATCAGATTTGACAGCACATCACTGAGTTATGGAAAACTAGAACTGATTTGCTGGTGTTAGAGAATGTTAACCCTTCTCCAGGAGAATTTTCGATGCTGACACCAAGCTTACAAAAAAAAGGGGGGGGGGCAAATGATGTTCAACTGCCTGCTGTTATACTGTAGAATTTCATGGTGCATCTTGAGCTCAATATCCTGTTCTCTATGTGCAGAATTCCCAATCGGTGCACCCCGCCACCTTTGGAGAACCATCCTGAAGTGTTCTCTGCTAATTGGAGTGGTACTGAATGAGCTAAGTATCTCCCAAGAGATGCTCAGCAACTTGCTGAATTGAGTCCATAGTGTAAGGTGTGTGATGTTCCCCTTTCCACCCATTTTTAGGCAACCTCGTTGTTTGTGTTTGTATTAAGTGCCTGCACCCACAGGCCCAGGCCGAGGGCCTCTGCTCCTGGTATAACATAAGGCATTCACAATCTGCAGTTTCATTCTTAAAAAATTATATTTCTAAAATGTAAAGCTGGACACGTGAATTGAGTGCAGCTGACCCCTATCTGTAGAGAGCCCAAAACAATAGCCCCATGTCTGAAATGTCCCATTTGTATTAATTCTTACACCTTCTGACAAACCAAGGAATGTCAGACTCACAGCACATGAATGAGGGTGAGACCAGAGGAGTCCCATGTGGGTTGCACCTAGAACCCTGAATTCCCTTAATTTGATGTTGCATCGGCCTTAACGGTGACACCCTTAAGATTTCCAGAGAGTTGCTGTGGTTTTTGTTCACCAAAGAACTAGATTCCCGGAGTATTACTAAGGACCCATGTCTGTGGACAGTTACCATGCTGGAATGCCAGTGTTTTATGAGCAGTTCAACGTGTGGATTTTTCAAACTGCTTAATGTGCTTCCATTTCTCTGCAAAACATTGCTTCTGTGCATCACCTGCATCTGAAACAAAGTTTTTTTTCAGAACGAAGTTTAGCTCTTCTGTGTAGCTTGAACCCCATGTTACCCAATGAAATGGTGGGAGGCTAATACAACCAGGCTGCCAGATCACACACAGCTATCACAAAAGCATTTCTTGGAGTTCCACCAAGAAGTGTTTCAGCAGAACGGCTGTTCAGTTTAGCTGAAGATCTCTACACTTAACATCACTGTAGGCTCTTCCCAGAACATTTACTTATTTATTTATGTAGTCATTTATATAGTGCTGTTAGTCATTGTGATTTCAGATGCTGTACAAATTCAGACACCATTGTATTTCAAAGTACATTGCCAATTATTAAGTGAAATTATTAAGGGTGTTGTCTATATTAGATGCAGATGATGCTCTGAATAAAAAAGGCATGCAAATTGTACTAATCATCCCTCATGCACTGAGTCTTGCAGTGGGAATGTGTGTGGAGATCTTAGGGGCCTCTTTGACCTCTTTTCACACCATAAAGGGTGTTGCCATGCTAACTTCAAACAGGCCAGCTAGAAAGACATTCTGTGGAAAGCAGGGTTAAAGGAGGGGTAGGATACAGCCATATGTGAAGCCAATGGTCCCCAAACCCATCCATAGAGGTTAAACGGGGTCAGTATCTATTATTTGAGCTCCTAAACAGAAATAGTGGCCTCCAAAGTAATAATCTGCATCCCACCACCTGCTTATAGACTGATGGAAAGGTTTGGAGGATTTCCTTTTGCCTGTCCCCTTCACTTGATTCCTTACACTCCAAGTTTCTAACATTTTGTATGGGCAGAGTGAGCTGCAATCATAAGGACTGATTCTGATGAATATCCACATCCAAAAGGCTTTAGTCAGAGGCCCAGAGCACTAAAGCCTTCCTTCTCTAAAGAGTTCCTAACCTAAATAAGTAATCCTGCAAAAGGATATGTAAATAGTAGTGCGGGTCAAACATTTTCCAGCAAAAGAGTTTTCTATCTGAAACATGGATTCAATAAAATTGAGTGACAATTAATTATAACAGAATATAGTATAACAAAATAAAATGCCAACAATAAAGTCAAAATGATACACACTGAACTCCCCAATGCAAAGCATAATGACCTAATGTCATTTTGCTGTTTCCAATACCCATTTTTTCAGAAATTTTGTTGGGATTCAGCAAAAAAGGAGATGTTGGAATTTTGCACAAAATGTGAATTCTGAGATTCAACTCGTTTGTGTGAATAGGGATTGCTTATGTATAACACTTTGCAGGATCATGGCTCAAAGGGGGAGCTGTGTTAGTCTGAATCTTTAAAAACAACAAGTAGTCCTGTGGCACCTTAGAGACTAATCAAATATATAGAATCATGAGCTTTCACGTGCAAACACCACTTCTTCAGAAGAGCTTGAGGAAGCTTTAGATTATAAACTCTTTTGGGGCAAGACCAAGATGCACAACTCCTTCCCAGTGTGCCAGCCATTGGTGTTATCTAAATGGTCTTTTGGGTGGGATCTTAGCTGTTCCAGTGATGAGCATCATGATATTTAACTTTCAGGAACAATACTGCTCCAGAAAATTGAAATACTGGCCTTGGATTCCTGTACAATGAATGTAGAAAAATAAATGCTTTAGAATAAGATCCACAAAAGCCAGCCAGTGGGAGAACTGCGTAAGTCAGCCAATGGGAGATGTGGACCAGAGAGGTGTGTGCTAAGGCCCATGCCTCTCATAGAGGTAGGAACCAAAGGGTATGTCTACACTCACTGACCATTGTTTTAAAAAGTACATTGTCAATTATTAAGTGAAATTATTACGGGCGTTGTCTATATTAGATGCAGATGATGCTGTGAACAAAAAGTGTATGCAAATTGTACTAATCATCCCTCATGTACTGAGTCTTGCAGTGGGAATGTGTGTGAAGGGTGTGTGTAGTTACCCTATACACCACCATGAGAAGCAGGTTGCATCTACACTCACTATAGTGTGCAGCTACACAGGGAGGTGAAAGACTTTGGCAGTGGCAAGTCAGCAGGACACTTTTGTTAAAAATAGCAGAGTAGACAGGGAAGGCACTGCTTGTGTCTGTAAAGAATCAGGGAGAAAACAAACCCAAAGGTTCTGGTTTGTCTTTGCTCACCTAAGCAGTGCCTCACCATCTACACTGCTATTTATGCCTATGCTAAGGGTGCGTGTAGTGCATGTACTCTACACGCTGCCTTAAGGGAGTATGCAGTGTACACATACTCTAAGTCCCTACTTGCAAAGAGGCACACATCTGTGCTTGCAATCTATGAATGGAAATTTGCATCCTAGAGTCAGGTGACTTAAGCATCTCTAAACATGCAATACACTAAATAATTGCTTACTGAGTAGGCATGTCCTTACACACTCCCCCAGTAGGGGAAGCTCATCTAGAGGTTCTACCACAACTAAATACACCTCTGGGGATGCATTAGCAGTAGTAAGAATAACAACTGACTTCATCAACACTTCCATTCAAAACAACCACTTGAACGTAAACCTGCAAGTGTAAGGAGTGGTATATTTTTACCCATTTCTCCTGTTAATGATGAAAACAAATGAGCAAGATTTATCGCTTTGACAAGTTATGTGGGTGTGAATCTTTCATTAGAATATAACAGGTTTAGTCCCCATAGGGCGTGGGAATCACTTAAAGAAGAAAATCCCACTTGGTAATCTCCTGCTAAGAAAGGCAAGAATGTTATTGTAAAATATACCTGTAAAGATGAAGATAGCAATCTTCATTCATGTCAAGGTACAGAGCAAGCCATTTCATCTCCCAGAAACTCAGTGACCATGCTTTGATGACAAGCCAGATGGCAGCTGTTCCCCAAGCCCTGTGCCAAAAAAGATGATTGGAGCTGCAATTTACCTTCCGTGGTGTAGCTTGCTGCTGAAGCATACCACAGCTGTGAATCTGGCTTCTGCCAGTAGGTGTATGCACAGTTGGTTTCCTCCCAATTTGGATTCAGCAGGTAAGAGGCTATATCAGTACCCAGCAATTATGAAATTGGCATGCATTGGATTGTTTACTCACAGTAATATTCCTACTGGACTTTATTAAAACACCATCTGTTGTCAATGCAGACAAAGAATCAAACTAGAACTATCCATTGATGGAGTGTATACATGTCTGTTCAGCCATTAGGATTAGGTCAGGCTGCTGAAAGAACACGTTTTTGTATCTTTAAAAGTTGCTTTTAATAATATGCTTATGTGCCTAATGACTTTTTTTCTCTAATGCCAACTAGACAAACAACAATTTACCATCAAAATGAAGTTGCCTGTTTGTGAGTCATGCTGGAATGGAAGCAAATGAGTGCATGCATAGAGGTGGAACTCAGCAAGATTCGTTTTACTACAAATTAAAGCTGAAATGTTCGAAGGCAAAGTCATCTGACTGAATGATGCTCAGTTAGAGCAAACTTCTGAGTTATTGTTTAGTAGAAAGGGTGAGTAATAAAGGATATCTGCCAATAATAATACCTTCAGGGCTTGAGAAAAACGGGACTGGCTTTTACAATCAGATGCTTTCTCTTGCTTTCTTTTTAATTCTTCTGATGGGGATCAGATATTCCTAATACACAGCTGGTCTCCACAAATGGCCAAATGTAATTTTTTCATACACCAGCATGCAATTCCAGGTGAAATTAATTAGTCGGGGTTCTTCATCAGGTAACATACTAATAAAACGGGATGCAAGTAATTAAATATGCAAATACAGGGAAGCAAGCACTAAAATTCAGATATGTCATTTCAGTCCCACAAAAAGGCATCTGTCAATTTAGAACTTGAATGCTCTCTCTCTCTCTTGTACACACACATACACACACACAAATCTTTAGAAAAATAAAAATGTAAACAAGTCCCAGTTCAGATTGTAAGATTAAAGCTGCAATAAAGGGAGAGAACACATGCCAAGAACACCCCATGGGAGAAGAGACAAAGTGCACTAAAATGCCTGAGTTGTTTAAGAACCAAGTGCTTGGAGGTCTCTCTGTGCTGAATGAGGAAGTGGGATATTTTAGTGGACTCACAGGGAAAATGTCCAGAACTATAAGCAGTCTCTGTAGTCTATTTTGCTCAGTATTTCTAGATACCAGAAGGACAAATTTAACCCTCATGTAAGTGTTGCACCTGGCTAAAAGGGGGGTGATTTGTCCTATATTCCTTTATCGGGCTCTGTTCTGTTATGGTATGGTATGAATAAAATACTGATAGGGCTAAATTCTGCCCTTAATTAAAGGTATGGAGGAACCTCAGGTTGCAAAAATACAACTGAGTGCGTAATGCGGCAAAATTGCTATAACTAAGGTCTAGCTTCCTATCTTCCCTCCACTGATTTAATCATAGACGATATATCATTTATGCAGATTGTTGAAATAAACTGTCTCATATTTGAGATAGACCAATTATTTTAAAGGCTTATAATACTCCACATACAATATGTGCTCCAAAGTCCATTGTAAATCGCAGATGACAAATCTCCTAATGTTAATATCATTAACACCAGGTCTAAATTAAACCTGGAAGGTCAGCTTAATGTATGAAACTCCAGCCTACGTAGAATACTAGACATGATAAATAGAATGTCAGAACATTGATCTCCAGCAAGGTAAGTGAAGTTGTGACCTTAGCCTCAACGCAAAATATTGTTTCCTTCAACTCTGATTTTCTTTATAATGGCATGAAGATGACACACCAAATGGTGCCATAACTTACATTCCCTGCCAAATCATTGTAATCATTCTGTCCCAGATCCTCAAAGGTATAGAGGGACTTTCCCTGGGGCTTCGTCCATCATTGCCTTTAGTGTAACTGAGATCCATATTCACCTCCCATGGCCTACAAAACCCATACTGGTGCAAATAATGGCACCTCAGAGTGACAGTTTTGGCAGAGGCAGAAGCACAGTACAACTAGCCAACCGCAAAACCCATTCTGTCATGGGGAGAGGTGGTAATATGTAGTGCAGGTCAGCTTCAAAGGAGGCAGAATAAGGCTGGCCAGGAGATGTGCAGATTCAGTGTATCTACGGGGGACCTTCCACTGTACAATCAACAAGCCCTCTCCTGGCCAAACTACACAGAGCAGAGCAGACAGACAGCATGCGTATGAATTTGTGAATCTGAATACCAAACCTCAGCTCTAATTTTAGCTCTCACAGCTCTGACAACATTCCTTTTTAATTGCCTGTATTGTTATTCGTGTCAGAATTTCTTAAATGCAGGAGGGGAAGTGGGAGAAAAAGAGAACAACACCTCAACCCCCTCCGCTCTGTTCAGACATAGTGGAGATAATCAAGGGGCACCTTGATGAATAAAACCACTTGATCACAGTTTTAATGTGCAGACTGTGTGGATTTTGACCTCCTTGCCACACCTACATAGAAATATCTGGCTTTCTAGAATAGTGGGAGATGTTGCTTTGAAAGAAGGCTATATGGAACTTATGGGCCAGCTCTGATAAATGCTCATTCTTCCCAAATGTTAAATATATTTGACACGCATTATATGCTCTGCTGATGCTGAGAAATCACAATGTTCTCTGATAATATCAGCCTTCCAGAATGACAGAAACAAGCCCCTTCCCCATCCCCCGCATTATAATAATTTGTTCTCCATATTCATTGAGTCTTTCAGCTTCCTTTCAGAAAAGAAAAGAAAAGAAAAGAAAAGAAAAGAAAAGAAAAGAAAAGAACAACAAACTCTAAGCTGTCAACTGTTTTTAGGATCCAAAATTCCATTAGGAAGTCCGCAGAGGCAACTAATTGCAGAAATAAAAACCTCCTCTCCCCACCAATCCACAGTCCACAGAAAAGACCTTCTAAAAAGATGAATTCAAAATATTTTCACCATCAGCAAGACCATTGCCTGCCCTTTGCTGTTACTCGGTGGGCACTGCTGGCACAGGTACTACTTCCCACACTACCTGTATATTGACACATTCAGAATCGTCTATCACACTGTGCAATGCAAACATGCTGAGGCTATGTAACATCTGTGCCAACACTTCTTATAAATCACTGCCTGGCTCTTACTGGGGTAACAAGGAAGAAAATGTTGGCAGTAGAATAATAATTGAGTTGATTTACCAGCTATGCACTCTTCCTGGAGATGGGAGTGGGGGAAGTATTGGCAAAGAAAGGTTTTCTTCCAACAAAAGAAAGAATTTGCTGAGCTACAGAAAAGTGATTGCAATAATTATCCAGGCTGTGGAATTTGTTTCTTGTTAGACTGAGCATGAGGGCTTTACCTCTTCGCAGTCTGAAATGTAACTAATTCACCTTTGGGTATGTTCAGAATAAAAATGTACAGGAAGCATTATTGAACCAGGTTCATGGTGAATATATAGGGGTAAATTGTGCCCTCATACATACATGCCTAGATTTCTCCAAAGCCAATGGCAGCCAGTTACATATATTCAGGGGCAGAATTTGGGCATTAGATAGTATTAGGCAACAATATATGTTGATTGTAAAATGGAAGTTAATTATATGGTTTTTTTTTTTTTTAAATCATTGGGTGAAAAAAGGGATTCACCAAATGGGGACTGGTTAATAAATGGTCTTTTATTTATGTTCTCTGACTTGAATACCTGCCTCCATAAAGCTCAATGGCAAAACTTCTATTGATTTCCAGGGAATCAGGATTTCACCCAAAATTCATCTTTGAAATTTCTAATCGTGTTTCAAAATCCACGGCGTACTTCATAAGTTCTTATACATTTTCTCTCTATAATAACAAACACACTATCCCACATAGCAGCCTACAGTTACAAACTCCTAATGAAAGAACACCCAATTCACAGGAAAAACTATTTCACTTTAGGAAAAGAAATGAACATTCAAGGAAAGTCACACATATGGAACAAAATGTGTATCAATGTATTCAGGGCTCCTCACTGTCCTACTCTGTGCAATCTTCCAACTTCATTTCCCATACAATATGGACACCAATAAAAGATGCAAAGGCAGGAATATCTGCGTCATATGTTCTGTGATTCTGTAAGAGATTCCTAAACACTCACATATGGTACTTGAATGCCCAGTTATGACTCATTATTTAGATAGAATGTTTCAAAGGCTAAGTAATATCCAGTGTATTTCTCGTCCATCTTCTCCATGATTCTTCTCCAGTCATACGTGCCTATAACATACAAAACACTTTATATTCTCAAAACATTATCTGTTACAGTTCTGTTACTGAAGTGGAAAACATGAAATGCAATCACCATGGGCCTGGGGTGGAATTAAAATTCTCACAGATTCTGACATATATATAGATCTATAGGATATACTTTATGATACCAGAGTTTAACTTTGGGGCTTTGGGGTTAAAACATAATATAATTAATAAATAATAATAAGCATCTGGGAAACAGCATGCTTTGTTCTAAAAGCAATAATATAATATATTTCTTCTAGTTGTTTCCCAGAATGTGCATACCAAATACCATGATTACCTTTTAGATCTCAGAATTTTCCATTTCTATATTCCTTCTACTGTGAAGGACACCAGACACTTTACAAACTCTAGGCCTGATCCTACAAACCTTTACTACTGATTATAATGCCTACAACAACAATAAGACCCAGGTAAAATCCTGTCCGCACTGAAGTCAATGAGGGTATGTCTACACTACCACCCTAGTTCGAACTAGGGTGGTTAATGTAGTCATACGAACTTGCAAATGAAGCCTGGGATTTGAATTTCCCGGGCTTCATTTGCATGTTGCCGGGCGCCGCCATTTTTAAATGTCCGCTAGTGCAGACTCCGTGCCCGCGGCTACACGTGGCACGAACTAGATAGTTCGGACTAGGCTTCCTATTCTGAACTATCTGTACGCCTCGTGGAACACAGACATACCCTGAGAGTTTAACCCCTACCTATCCCCCAATGACTTCAGTGGAAATAGCTACAGTAGTTTGAATTATGCCTGTTAATAAGGTTTACAAAATTGGGCCCTACATACATGCTGACCAATGAAATAGAGCAACCAGCTGACCAACCAATAACATATTAAATAACTAGACCAAGAAAATTTTGGGCCAAGCACTGTAAGAGATGTTCCTATTTTCCCAAAATGAAAATGCCATGATAGCTTTAATGCTTATGCCCAAAGAAGCCATAGCCTTCATTCTGAATAGCTCACCTGGTACATCCCACACATTAAATTACATTGCACTGAGTTTACCAACCCCAGAAGGAAGAAGTGCTCAGTCAGTTCTTCTGGCAGTTAAACTTGTAAGATCTGGCAATTTAAAGTTACTCTAAATATGAGCCTTGAACGTATGAATGCTTATGGACAAGTGCAGGACTTGTTACCATAAGTAACAATCTCCACGTTGCCTTCAATAGGCCTATTCTCAGTTGCAAGAAATGGGCTCGTGTGTTGGCAGAATCGGTCTCAAATTAAATTTAACTTTATAAAAATGCCTCCCACATATAGCTTCCTTTTCTACTACCTGGGAATAAAGTTTTGTCCTTTCTCCTAGCACAGCGACAGTACAGTGCCTACAGCACACTGCCTATACAGGCATTTGGCACAACTACATAACTTTACCAATGACTCACCTTAATTCAGTTCCCTGGGGAGCTGAGAAGTGTTGCTGATCCTTAGCCATCTGCCACACCGCTCGATGGCAACCACTACCAGTACACCAGCATAACCGTGCCTCAGTGGGTCACAGCTGAGGATATCAGATTAAAGACAATCTGCTGAAAAAAAAGGGTAGACACACCCCAAACTGGTGGTTGTTTTTTTCATAAGATATACCAAACCAACAGCAAAGGTGGACTTCTGTCTTGCTACACTGGCTATTAGGAAGTCAAAAGTACAGTTTCACCACCCAAACACTAGACTAAATAATGAGTGGTTATTTAAAGCCAATTTAATCAAAGGGTTCTTTCAACCCTAAAGGATGACCAGCACATATCCAGGTTAGATTTAGCTCAGATCTTACCCAATAATTATGCTATAGCCAACCAGTTAGTATCTAATATCTAAAGATTTATTTATAAGATAAAAGAAAGGGCTTAGAATTAAAATAGTTAAAAGAATCAAACACGTATAGTCATTGTAAAATTCTTGGATCAATTTTGTAACAGTGATGGAATATAACATCTCTGGTAACATGCATAAGATTGGAAGGTCCTCCTCAGTCCACTGGTTGTAATGCTACAGTTAGTGTAAGTCCATAGATCAGAGCAGGAAAGAGGAAAAATGGATACGTTTCCATAATCTTTTAAACTTTCTGCGATGTGGCGTGTCTGTTCTCAGTACAGTCAAAAAATATAGGTACAAGATGGAATGTAGGGTCACATGATATAGTCACATGCCCTTGCTTGCTTTGATGAGTTACAACGGGGCTATTTTCTGGCTAAAACATCCAAGTCCATCCAGGGAAGATAAGCTTCTTCAATGGCCCATTCTGTTCACTGATGCACCATCAACTTGAATAGTCCATTCACACTGTGCTGGCTAGACTAGATGTAAAATATTTGGTGGGTGTTGCCGCATAATGAAACTCTTGGGACATACAGATACATAGTTAATATGCATTACTTCACTAATTAAAAGGATAAATGCATACAATTAGAATAAAAATATTCAGCAAACCTTAACTTTCTCCATTAACACCTTATATGGCATACTTTGTACAAAATGTTTGCAATTATATAACAGTAGTAGCAACAATTATATACATGGTCATATGAGAATTATATGGTATATAACATAACAATTAACTATTAAACCTTCCTAACAGAAATCCTCTATTAATGTAAGTCAACATAGCTCCGTTGAGTCAAAGCTAAGCTGATTTACATCAGCTCAGGATCTGGCTACAAGTCTTTATATTCAGATCTGCTGCATTTTTCATATTGCATTCTGCTGCTTTCATTGCATATAGGTCCCAGTTGCTACATTTCCCACTCTAACAAGGTAAAATGTGGTACATATTATTACTAGGAATTAGCAGAAACACTATCAAATTCAACTTCAGTGTAAGTAAATCCATTTTTTTGGTGTTCAAAATCTCTATTAATTTTAAAGAAATTATGAAGCAATAGTGAAATTACAAATGAACAGAGACTTCAATTTTTCTGATGAATTCTGTTTTGTTACCTCATCTTCGCGCTGACCCTCAGCCTGCTTTTATCCTCTATTCTGGTATAGTGTCTTCTCTAATACACTAACTCTATAGGACAGGAAATATCTTCTTTGTTAGCAGTCTGTGCAGTGCCCAGCCCATCGGGAATCGCACCCTTGCCTTGTTTAAACATATAAATATTAATAGTAGATGTAACAAGTATGACATACAATGCAAATTAATAAATATAGCGGTAAAAATATTTAAAAAAATGTTAAATGTGTTGGTTGTATTGATAGCTGACCAAAATAGATAATATACCTTTGGAAATACAATAAGACTGAAAAAGAAAGTTGTGTGACTCAAAATAAAGCTTTCTCTCCTTCCATATTTCCACTTTTTACTATAAATCTTTTAAAATAGGGAAAATCCTGGACACCAATCTAAACTTGCTATTTTATGGATGATTTATCCGACTCCAGATTTCAGACATAACTTTTAATTTTGAAGTGGAATTGAGTTTCACGGTGCTACA